TGTGCTCTGATCAGACATGTCCCTCCCTGAGCTGTAGCTTCAGTGCTGCCCCCTGAAGTGAATTCTTCATGGGGTGAGGGGCTGTGTATGTAATTGGGATTGGGGCTGGCCCCAGCCCTCTACATTTCAAACCCTAGCACAGACTATAGAAAATGAAGTCATGAGAAAAACTACCAATCATCTCATAGCTTAAAGAGGACATCACACTCTCCCCTATGAGTGATGCCCCAGGGCTAGTAAGACATCCAAGGGGGGTAATGAAGTAGAAAAATTTCCTTGCATGCATCCTGCAGTTTCCTGCTTATAATCATATTTTCTGGTAATATATCGCCACATGCATCCTTACAGATATTTCCTACTTATAACCATTCCCAATCATATTAAATCTCAATTCTGGCAACCGCCTTGTGTGAAAACTTAACGGACCCTCTGTATGGGGCTCAGGTTTCCTGGTGTTAACCCAGTGACCAACTGGTTCTCCACATCTTCAAGTGGCATTTGTCTTCCTGGCTTATTGCTCTAACAAAACTAGCCTGCCTCTAAGAGTTGCAGAGGGATTGTTTTGTGGGAGGCATGTATCCTATGCTGCTGTGAATTCCAGGAAATGATTTTCATGATAGGGTCTCCACAGTTTCATGACCACAAAGTTTCCTACTGGTAATCCAGTTTTATTTCTGAAACAAAGTGTGGCAGTTACATAATCTGTCAACTTGCAAAGTCTAGCCTGTCCATCGTGTCAGTTTGATTACCTCATTTGGAGGCTAGAGGGAGATAAATAGCTCAGAGACGTGCTCTCTGCTTCATCTTCCTGTTGACAAGCCACATGGAGCTACACTGATGGAGCCAGAGCCCTGGAGCTGGAGGATCCACGTGGAGATTTGTGTCAGCGCTGAGATACTTCCACCACCACACCACTGGACCCACAAGACTTCCCACCCACTGGCCTGTGATCTTCCTGAACTCAATGTCGTTGCATGGGTGGTGTGGGTCTGAAGAGGAATTTGGAGACTGGTATCAGACATATGGGCTAAAATCGGACTTAGGGACTTGATCTGGGATGTTTGATGTAAAGCTCTTTCTTATACACGAGTCTCTAGTCCACCTGAATGAACACACAAATGAAAAAAAAACAAACAAAAACTAAACATGCCACTATCTCTTAACAAGCTCCTGCTGCTGTAAGTGAGGTATGCTGTAACTGACAATGGAATACTCATAGTTTTCTGTGGCTAGTTCCTCAAAAGTGGTCAGTATTCCTTGATTAAGCTTGTCATCTGGAAGCTCTGCTGACCCCTGTTCACTTGGGGTGACCATGCTGGGATCATATCCCAGTGTCATGACTTTCAGCAACCCAGAAGCATACGTCAGTCACTAAGGTACACCAAATTGAGAGAAGTGGTCAGAAAAGAGCTCCTTAACTTGCTCAGTCTTGATACAATTGAGGGAGATTTTCTTCAGGGTATAAACTCGTTTAGTGTAAACTGAAAGTGCCCGGAAGCTATCTGACTTGGACTGCTGGATTTGGATCCTGCCTCTCATTCAACTGCCCTCCTCCATGGCCAGCTGATCCCCGAAGTCACCAGGGAACTGCTTACTTTGGATTCATTCAGCTCAACACCCGCCATTCTGCTTCATTTCCCTGTTTCCTCTCTATTAGGCCCTGAAGGTACAGGAATCAGGACAGGCTTACTTCTCACCCACAAACTCGAACCAGTCTGGGTGAACCAACTTCTTCAACTGTGTGAGTCATTTCTTGCTATAATCTCTTTCTACATCCATACATATACAAGTCTCACTGGCTTTGTTCTCTATTGGGTCCAGCCTAACACAGCATATACACAAAAATAAGCCATCAAAACACAAAAGCAAGCAATAATAGAAAAGGACAAGAAAAAAATAATAACCTATATATTATCAAGGATTCATGGGAGGGGGGGGCAGAAAAAATGAGGAACTGATACCAAGAACTCAAATAGAAAGAAAATGTTTCAAAAATAATGGCAACATATGTACAAATATGGATGTATGTACATTTGTTATAAGAGCTGTAAGAGCCCCCAATCAAATGATTAAGATAAAGAAGGAAAGTTTGAGCCACAGTTCCTTATTTTCACTTGAGTGAATAAGTCACTCCTTATGATTAACTGCAATGGATTTAATGAACAAAATACTCCAATGGAAACACAGAATTGTAATGGGCTTAAAAACATCATCCAACTAACACAACAATCATCCGAGTATATACAATATCCCTGAGACATTCCGTAGACCCATACAAATAGGTTAATGAGATAGGATGGATAAAATACTCACACATATAGTAGAACCAAGATATAGCTGGGATTCATATCTCAGTATCAGACAAAGCTGACTTTAATACAAAACTTGTGAGGAGATAAACATACATATTACATAGTGATAAAAGGGTCAATTTATCAAGAAAATTGAGGAATCAAATATATATTCCTTCAACAGTGTTTACTTAGAAAACAAACACTGATCAATTGAAGGGAGAAACTGATTAAACTACAATAGTTGTGAAGTTATCAAAACACCTCTTTCAGCATTAGAACATCTAGAAAAAGGCCACAGAACCAAAACGTAGCTCACATCACCAGCAATGCTTTTTTGAGTGCAGCTTGATTTTCTGGAAGTTGTTTATGTACTGATATGGATTATGAGCAAGACGGCATTACTTGAAATTCCCATCAACCACTTTGAAACAATTTTTGCAGTTTTTACATGTATCATTGTATGGTTCAATTGTCTCTGAAGGGTTCAAACAAGACTATGCAATATTAATTCCTACATTTGCATTGACCCCTTTGGCTTTCATGAGAAATGTAGGAATGATCAGTGTAATCAGATGAAAATTAGATGTTCAGAGAATGGATCATAAAATTCTTTTTATGTGTTTTATGCATTTTTGAGGCCTGCCATTTTATTGAAAGTACTATGGAATTTCAAAAATGTATACAATGTCTTAGAAGACGTATGGCCAGGATCCTCATTAGAGGCAAGGATTGCCCCATTTCCTCTCATGCCCATGTTATCAGGAAACTCCACTGTGTGAGGGTCTCATCCATGGTGTACAGTGAGGGCAATTAAAAAGAGGACCCCCCAAAAATTAAAAAAACAAAAGAGGACCCATGACAACATAGATGGGCACAGTGGTTGCAAAAACGGCTCAAACATAAGAACCATTGTGAGGGTGGACCAGGAGTGTACAGTGTTTCCTTGTGTTGCCTATAGGGTGGTTAGGAGTCAAAACCAACCCCAAGGAACTTGACATGTATGAAGACTTACTGCTCACGTGTGTGCTTCATGTTGTTAAAGAAATACAAACAAATATTCAGATATGAAATACTTGGGATACCCATTAAACCACCTGCTTCTCTCAGATATCCGTTAAGCTCCCTTCAGATGTGTACAATTGTTCTCGGTCCCACTTAAGAGTGGGTGTTCAATAGCTCCACCCACAAACTTAACCTATCGGGAAACATCGGTGCATTTTGCAATTACATTCAGGAGATTTTTTTCTTTTGGGCATTCCTAAGGGTAGTTTCTCTCCATTGAATAACTTCGCAGGGCACCTTGAGCCAATCTTGGTGACTGCTACCAAATCACTGGCTAGAATGATACAAATGTGAGACATCTGTCATCTATCAGGGTCATAGATTGGTAATCATGCAAATGACGCCATTTGGAATCACACATGTGGCGTGTCACAAGCGTGGAGGCTCTGGTTGATGATGAACTGTGACTTCCCAATAAAGGCTGAGTCACACTCCTTGCACACAACATGTAGATTTCCACCAGTGTCTCCTATGCTGGTCGCAAAGGTTTAGACCTTTGCCTAAATGCTTGCCCACTCCTGGCACACAGGACTTCCCCCAACAGTCTTTTCTGATGTCGGACAAGCTGTAACTGCCAAATAAAGGCTTGCCCACACTCCTAGCACACAGCTGACTTTTTCCCAGAGTGCCTTTTCTGGTGCACGATAAGCTGGGACTTCAAAAGGAAGCCATATCCACACTCCTTACACACGTGTGGCTTTTCCCCGGTGTGTCTTTTCTCATGTTTCGTGAGCTCTGCCTGAAATATGAAGGTTCTCCCACACTCCTTGCACACGTGTGGCTTTTCCCCAGTGTGTCTTTTCTCATGTTTCGTGAGCTCTGCCTGACATGTGAAGGCTCGTCCACACTCCTTGCACACATAGGGCTTCTCCCCACCGTGTATTCTCTGGTGTAAAAAGAGTCTTGACTTCCTATGAAAGGCTTGCCCACAATTTTTACAAACAAAAGGCTTGTCACCAGAGTATAATCTCTGGTGTTTCTCTAGACTTCCCTTCCGGGTAAAGGCTTGCCCACACACCTTGCACACATATGGCTTTTCCCCAGTGTGTCTTTTCTCGTGTTTAATGCAATCTGACGACCATCTGAAGGCTCGCCCACACACCTTGCACACATATGGCTTTTCTCGAGTGTGTGTCCGCTGGTGTTGAAGAAGGCTTGACTTGTGGATATATACTCGCCCACACTGCTTGCACACATGTGACTTCTCCCCGCCATGTGTTCTCTGGTGGAAAAGGAGATTTGACTTCCAGCGGAAGACTTGCTCACACTCTTTGCAGACATATGGCATGTCACCGGAGTGTATTCTCTGGTGTTGCTTTAGATTTGCCTTCCGGCTAAAACCTCGCCCACACTCCTTACACACATGTGGCTTTTCCCCAGTGTGAGTTTTCTCGTGTGTAAGGAGTTCTGACTTCCATAAAAATGCTCGTCCACACTGTTTGCACACATGTGGTCTCTCCTCAGAGTGTCTCTTCAGGTGGACAAAAAGGGAGGACATCATGCTGTAGGCTTGCCCACACTTGTTACACACATATGACTTCTCCCCAGAGTGGGTCCTCTGGTGTATGATGAGCTTGGACAGCCAGACAAAGGTTTTCCCACACTCCTTGCACACATGTAGATTTTCCCCAGAGTGGGTCCTCTCGTGCACACGAAGCCTTGAATTCTGGCTAAACGCTCGCCCACACTCCTTACACACATAGGGCTTTTCCCCAGAGTGTATCCTCTCATGTACGAGGAGCTGTGATTTCCAGTGAAAGGCTCGCCCACACTCTTTGCACACATGGGGCTTTTCTTTAGTGTGTGCTTTCCTGTGTCTAAGAAGACATGACTTCCGAAGAAAGGTTTGCCCACACTCCTGGCACACATAAGACGTTTCCCAATAGTGTGTCATCTGGTGTTTGAAGAGCTGTGACTTACAGCTAAAACCTTGTCCACATTCACTGCACACGTGGGGCTTCTCCTCAAGAAAGGAGATCTGTCTTGTGCTGACATTTGCCTCCGGGTCACAGTCTGGTCCGTGTCTATGGGTGACTGCTCCAAAGCTTGAGGTTTCAAATTCCTTCAAAACTCTTGGGCATGAGGTGGGCTCCAGACCTGCCCCTGGGTGGCCCTCTTTTGGACGTGCTGACTCTTCCTGGGTTGGGCTAGAGGGTTCTATTGATGTCTCTCTGTCCACTGACCTTCTGCGCAAGCCTTTTGAGGTGATGTCTCTCTCCTGACTCTCAGTGTTTTCACTCCGGCAGCTCTCAGAATCCTGCTGCTCTGGTTGCTTCTGAGGCCCTGGGCTGGGACCGTTGCACTGGAAGTGATGTTCCGCACATAAGCCTTGGGACACTTGAAGCAGATGATGGCTGAGGACTTGCTGACCAGGGATGTGTAAGAGGCAGGAGGAATCGCAGGCGTTTTCTTGCTTTGTTTCTGCTGGGCAAAGAAAGGGTTTCATTAGAACAGCCATGACTAGACCTGCCTGGACCGTGAGCTTTCCCTCATGACACCTAGCTTCTGACTGCTAGAGTCCCTGGGTAGGAGAAATAGATGATGGGAAAATAACTAGCTGTAAGGTTACTGGTTCTGAAAACAGGCCTAGCCCTCTGATGTCCAGAGGACACCGCTTAGAACACTCCGTGGATCGATCAGGCCTCTTCTGTGTACGTGTGGTCATCATGGCTCGGAATTCACTCGGCAGCAAATCACAATGATCATATGCCACGCCTGACACCCACTAGTTGCACCAAGGTAGAAATGTGTGGTGATCTGAATTAGATAAGACTCAGAGCCTTGGAAAATCCACTGGTCATTTTACTTAGGGTGGAGAACTCCAAATCTCAATCACTTTGATGGCAGTGTGTGTGGGATGCTGAAGGCATGTACGTGGCTCTCTCTCTGGACGGCCAAAGAATGCTTTAGAGAAACGCAGGGAAAACATTAGCCAAAAAATGCTGACGATTCTTCACCAGAGAATAGTTCTCAAGCCAGACAAGGACCCTGCAGATTTCTCTCAGTAAATAAGACTGACTTTGGCCAGGCATCAATGGTGCGGGACAGGGCGTGCTCCCTCTGTTCTACATCCGGTTGCTGTGAGTAGGAAATGGCTCAACCCCAAGGAACAACACCAACATCAAAGGAAAAACATTAGGGATGAACTTCAAAATTCTTATTTACAGCGTTCCAACTACATTTGCTGTGCAATCATTTAAAAAAAAATTAAATTAACAATTTTTAGCCTTAAGTTAATTTGGGGGAAAAAAACTTTTAAAAAAGACACTGAGACTTCCCTGTTCAAGAGTCTCAATTTAGGGATAAATTAATTGGCGGTTATTATGGCTTCCATTAGGGAGGGTTTAGCATAAGAAATGAAGTTTATATGTTTTATCTGTTCCATCCCAATAAATTCTTTGTCTCCTTTATGCATCAGATAACTGAGAACCAACCGGTAAGTAAAAGTAATGCTAGCAAAACCTGTTCCCATGTGGCTTCCCTTGTACAGAGACAAGCGACAAACAATACGTCTTAGATTTGAGAGATCTTCAAAGACCAGTAGTGCTCACAATACCAGATTAGTTGCCATCAAGTCCATTGGTATTGAACCAAACAAATACCATTCTTCTGAATTCCTAATCAGGTAATTCCAGTAGCATTCAAGGCCAACACCTGGGTTACAGAACGGAACTGCTCTGTCAGGTTGTTTTTTCCTGTTTATTTGGTTCCTGCTACTTGACCCACAGGCGTTTAGGGGCGCTATGCCTAAATGAAGCACGGTGCCACAGGTGTTCAGTGATGCCACGGGTAGGCTTTGAATCACCCATCTGTACCTCATAGCGGCCTGCATCTGTTAGCAGGCCACAGGAGCCTCCCTTGGACAAAGAGAAGACCAAACTCACTTGTTGCCATCAAACAGATTGTGCCCTGGTGGCAGAGAACTAGGCAACCGTGCTAACCGGACCATTTTGGTTAAAGGCAAGAGTGATCACATGAGAATTCTGGAACCCTGGGCCTTCAGAAGAAAGGAGCAAGCAACAAGCAGACCAGCCACCTTGTATCTCCTTCAGCACCAGCCAGCTAGTGGGTTACGGCATTTACCCCTCATGTCCCCCTTGACCATCAAAAGACATGGCCAACCCCAGTCAAACCTGGACCGAACTGTGCTGCAGGAACACAGAACTGCGCACAGGTTCACATTCTCTATCAAGTGCACCAGGAGAGAGGTAATGAGTACCTAGAACCAAAGCAACATACAATCATCCATTACATACGAATAGGCCACCACCACAATACCTCTGAAACAAAGGACCATGCCAGTTCACAGGAAGCCACAAGACAGAGTAACGTACACACATGATCTAAATGCAGCATCTGAAACACTTTTTGAGGAAAAATGCTACTGGAATGACCTGATTAGGAATTCAGAAGAATGGTATTTGTTTGGTTCAACAGTTTTATTAAAGAAAAAAAAAAAAAGATTAAATAATCTATGGAACGATTAATGAAAGAAAGGAGATGTGAGAAAAAATTAGAATTTAAGGGAGTACTAAATGAAGGAAATGACAAATGAAAAACAGAAATCACATACAAACAGCAAATAAAAATAGAAGATGAAGATGAATTCAGAACTAGCGCATTTGATAAAGACAAAGAAAGAGGACTGAGTCAATAAATGGAAGACTAAAATCGATGAAAGATGATAAATTTCAATTAATTAGCTAGAAAACAGCAGAAAAAAGAAACAAAACATATGAATAAAACCAAGAATTGCATGGTATAACATCAAGAGGAATACCTTAGAAGTCAAAAGAAATCCAGAATACGAAGATTATTTGTAATGAAAAGAAAGAAAACAAGAATATTTTAGAAGAATTACTGGAGACAGTAAGATATGCAACCAAGCAGTTGAATAGAACTGTTAACAGGACAGTCTCCTGCAGGACAACAAATTCCTGAGGTGGCTCTTCTAACCATCATCCTTGTACCTCTCAGCAAAGGACCCCTCCCTGAGGGTCTGAAGAACAGAAGGTGGGGCAGACACTGAGAGGATTCAGTGGGGAGGGCTGGTTAACAGGATCCACTGTGATGGCCATCCTGCTGCACATAAGATGAGCTCTCAGAGGCTGCATGGGGGATCTTACTACCAGCAAGAGCCAGGAGTAGAGCTTGTCCTGGGACGTGCACCTCCTTGACCCAGAAGACAGCTGTGACCGCAGAGGGGACGAAGAGCAGCATCGACAGCAACACAAGCAGGAGTCTCAACATGGGACACAGTGGTGGACTTCTCAGCAAGCAAGCCAGGTATTTGGGGCATGAGGCTGGGCCCTTAATTGGGAAAAGGGAGCTGGATTTGATGAGTCAGAGAGCTAGTGGAGCTCCTTTAGTCTTATATATACACTGGCAGGGATGCATGTCGAACATTTATTAACAGGCCTCTCAGCCATCTGGCAGGCAAGCAACTAAGCCCACATGGAAGAAGCAAACCAGCCTGTGTGAGGTGTCGACGGGATCAGGTATCAAAAGAGCCAACAAACAATTATATCCATTAGAACGAGGGGGGTCAGAGTGGAGACCCAGACCCCATCTGTTGGACATCACCCCACAGAAGGGTTACAAGGAAGGGACAATTCAACCAGAGTTCAGTATAGGCACCGAAGAAACACACATCATTGCTCTAGTTTCTGAATGCTTCCTCCCCTGACTACCATGACCCAGTTCTACCTTACAAATCTGGCTAGATCGATGTACACACATTGGTACAGATAAACCCCTTAGGCACAGTGGAGGGAGTAGCAATATCATGAGGGTAAGGCAATGATGAGTAGAGGGGGTTGAAATGGGGAACCCGGCACAAGGTTGGCTATATAGCCTCCCCGCCGAGGGGTAC